CAGTTCCACTTACAGCTGTTGGGTTCCACAGACAAGTCCACAAAGTGTAATAATATGTGAGCAATGGGTGCAAGGTAAGAAATATGTACACGGTAGGGAAACATGGAGAATTCAGCTGCCACAGCATAGAGCATGACACAGCTGGGATTGCAGCACACAGAGCAGCCTGCACCAGGGACCTGGAGAAAAGCAGCCCTGCTTTCCACGCCTTGGAGCCTGCTGGATTAAGAAGTACCAGCCCCAGTGTATCAACAAGCATCCCACTTTCCTGAGTATTTAACAATGCCAGAGAAATCAGACCTCCTAATCAGAGATTCCTTACCATGGAAAACCACTCCTTTGTTCTGTCCGAGGGATTTTACCATAAAGCCAGTTACCAAAACTACTCGCGCATCTTATCCAGAAGAGGAAGAAAGGTACTCTACCTTTAGTCTTTAATTAAAGACAGAACCAAGTACAAACTGTGCAGAGACAGAGCTCACATGCATACAAGCTCCACTGCTGAGTACACAAAGTTTTGTAGATCCTGCTGGACTATTTCCTTCCATATATATATACACATACATTCACGACTGTGTATGTGTATATATATACACACACACACACACATAAACCTTAGCTTTGACCCTCAGCATTGCACACCACAGGCTAACAGCACCCTGTGGGACAAGCTCGCCAGGCTGAAAATGGCCATCAGCACCCCTCAGCCACAGACTGCCCAGCCCTGCACGTGACACCAGACACGCTCCGTCACCACAGCCAGAAGCTGTCACAGTCAATCAGAGCAGAGCTGAGCCCACCATGAATCAGCTGCTGTATGGATGGACAGGCTCAGAGAACCTCAGTACTGGAGACCAAACAGCAGCCATCGTCCCTTCAAATTAAGGCTACTAATAGCTTAAAGCAACTCTATGCAGTAAGGAGACTAAATATACGACTGCAGCTCTGTCAGTGCCACAGGAGAGCACACACAGGTGTCTCCTGCATATATTCTCTCCAGGAAAATGACAAAGATATGGAAAATCTGGACAAAGCAAGAGTTCTACAGCTTATGGGGACAGGTGCTGCAGGAGGTTATGCTGCCTGCAGCCAGGCCTGCAGATTTTCAGACTTGCTTCTTCCAGCCCCACGAAGAGGCTTTGGAACCAGGCAGGCTCAGCAGCTCTGAGGCAAACTGGCAGTTCAGCTTCCAGCAGCAGACCATACCACGCAGCACAGCCAGCAGTACTGTTCACCCATTCTGTCCTTACCCTTATTCTGTATCCACCCCATGCTATCCTTACTCACCACTGCACTGTGGTTTGGGCAGCAAGTCTAAAAAAAAAGTCAAATACCACTGACACAACTGATTCACATCCTTGAAATGTGCCATTACTAGCTAGACCAGGAGAAATTCAAGATTGAAACAGCACAGTACTAACTACCCCTGCCTCCTTTATGCCTGCCCTGCACATGACACCTTACTGTAGCACTCAATGCAGGTGGAAAGAGCCCAGGTAAGAACAGACCTGGGCTCAGTAGTTATTTTCCTTCTGGTGAGGGACTGGAAAAGAACAGATGAGGCTCTTTTATGATTTGCTTTTAAGCAGAGGGAAGGACTTCATTATCTCACATCACTCACTGGCCAGCTGTTACCAAGCAGTGAAGAGACAACACAAAACCTAAGTCCTACCCTACCACTCTGAAGCATGGCAGCTTAGCCTGAGGCTTCCAGATGTGCTTAAATGACTCCCCTTTTAGCCATCTTCTGAACAGCATCTGACAGCTCTGTATCATCTGCTTTTCTCTACAAGTTTGCTTTGAGCACAAGTCCATACCTTGTCAACTTCCATCTCCATGGGATGTCTGCAGGCACTCTGTTTAGCTTTGACCACTGCTGCTACAGATCAGGCAGCTCTAGTTTAGAAGACTTTATCAGAGATCGCACAAGATGACTTGATTCTCATCTCCAGGCCCTGGCTTGCAGCATCTGCTGACTTGCAGTTTGAATAAGCACTTGGTGTCACAACCCTTAACCAATTGCTGCTGAAAGAATGCCTGAAACTTCAGTGCTGGAAAGATGCCCAAACTTATAACAATTTTCACTATGTTGTCCTTCAGACAGGAACGCCGTTTTCCTTAATACATGAGATACATTTTGCAGGGTTATTCTGCAAAAGATGCCAGTAGCCCATTATTCCCTCTTAAGCCTGGAAGCTGCTTACATACCGTGGGTAATCATCTTGCCAAACATCTTTTTAAACTTATCTGAGTGGCAGATATGTGCCCGTATGCCTACATTTCAGGGAACACAGTAGAAGAACACATCAACTTGCAGATATTAACTTGTTTCTGGTCCTATACTGAAGTGCTCAGCTTTCCATGGCTGGCATCTCAGTTTTCCCTCCTGCAGTACATCAGTTGGTTTACATGCCAGCCAATCCAGCCTGGAGTGTAACATTTGAGAAAACTGCAAGTATACTGAGTAGAAAAAGTTCGGCACAGGGGAGGAGGAAATCACAGAATGCAAACACAAGTTAAAGTATTTGAAGTCCAAGGTGGTCAGCATAGACCTGCCACTAGGAACAGAGGAGAGGCTGCAGCACTGGTATCTCTGCCTTTCCTGCCAGCCCCTTGCTCTCCAAAGCAGCACAACGCTGACCTAGTTTTCCTTTGGCTGTGTGACAGCAGCCATAGAGGAACCTATCTGAAAGTATGCAACATAGATTTGTCACTCGTGAGAGCTGCTCCTCTTCTGTCCCAGAGCTGGATAAAGCTCTTTCCCACAGGCAGAAGTTACCTGTCACATAGACAGGGAAAGAAAAGCTTCCAAGCTGCCTCTTTAAGGATCACAACATCAGTTAGGCACTTCATATTTTTGAAAGATGGGAATACAAAAGCAGCCTATATCACATACTCCAAGCTGACTACATATAATGTATTATTGAGAACTCAGCAGTGGAAGTTATCTAGTGGTCAGATTATCTGATGTGTATTTGGTATTCAAGTGTGCCAGAAGTCATCACTGGCATAAGAACAAAGCAACTGAAAATATTAGATCATGGACTCATCCACAGGTAACTCCCTAGGGCAGAAACAAGTCTGGAGGATAAGGTACACCACGCATAGCCTTATTCTGAAGGAACAACCCATTTCTTAGCACTCAATCACATAGTAGAGGAATTTGTTGGGATAACTGCTTAGACAAGACCACGTGTAATGAAAAAAAGTTTCCTGCTAGTAAGTATCTACTCACAGCCTTTAATGGAAATCTCCAAATACTTTGGTATTTGCTATTTTGCTGTATATAAGGGAAATTGTGTTATCCTTCCCAGAGATGAGGTAGCTTTCCACACACAGAACTGGAAGCACGCTAAAAATACAGACTTACAGACTAGGCATAGTTACAGATGAGCTATTAACATTTTTTCCTGAATGACATCTGCCTGCAAACTTTGGTCTTGAACAATTTTCATTTTAGACTTTTTAGCATCCATTCCCTCCTAGCGTGACAGTTCCTCCAGATAAGTTTTTTTTTTTTTAAGTCAGGTATCCTCAGTAAAGCTGCTCACAGCCAGCAGGCCAGACCCAACCTACGTCAGGTGAGAACGCCCTCTACCCTTTTCAGCTTGTAACCAAGCTAGTCAAACAGCTAGGTGCAGTAAGATCAACCACGACAAATTAACATGAAATCAAATGCATTTGGCCCATCGGCCACATCCCCCAACCTCCCTCCAGACAGGGTTCTTACAAGGTTCCAGACAGACCTCGTGAAGGACACTGCCTTTGTGCTCTAGCCTTTCATCTTAAAGGCCAGCAATTCAGCAAGTAAATGAGAAAAAAGGCATCTGTCAGCAAAATGGTTGAAAAACAGTTTCGATCCTTTCAGGAAAACAGCCAGAAATTTCTCACACTGAAAAAGTCAGCTTGTTTTAGCTTCCATCTTACATGAAATTGTATCCCTTTGGTCTAAACACAAGGCTGATTAAAACAAGCAAAGCACAAGGGAGAAGATGTACTACTGTGCCTGCCAAGTACCAGCCCTGAGAGCTTACAGCCCAGAACTGCCCAATGAACTGCTGCAAGTGCAGTGCTCCAGGTCCCCGTGCACAGCAACATGAACAGCCAGGTCTCATCCCAGAGCTCCAGGCACACCCCATGGACAGGGAAATCCGCAACACAACGAGAAGAGTTACTGGCAACATGCTTCTGTGGCAGCAGGGACAAGGCCCCTTTTTAAAGATGAAAAATAACTGAAAGCCATTAGCTATCTGCTTGCCAGGTCAAGCACCAAATAATAGAGTCCTGCTTTCTGTTAACCAAGAGAAGACTATTTAATATTCCAGGAGGCTCAAGACAGTATATTGTGCCACGTGCTCAGACAGCCTGACAGCTTACAGCATATGAATAAAGCTAGGGACAAACGCGTGGAGGACATTGTAGAAACCAGAACACATCCTCAAACATTGTCTTAGCAATGATGAGTCACGGCATTCCAGGAAATGAGATGCAAGTTCCCAGCATTTTGGCAAAAGACAGAATTAAGCTATGAAAGAAGCCCAATTCTCTGCTACATTGCTGTCTCCACTGAGCTCACATGAGAACATACAAGTCAAATCCTGTCAGCCTTCATGATCTCACTGCATAGCTCTCAGCACCCTGCTACCCCCCGACGCACTGGAGTAACGCCACAACGGAAAGAAACTGCTGTCTCAGAAGTGATGGAAAGCTACAGAGACCCCTGAAGTCACTCTGACTGCCACATCAGCATTTTGGACTGACATCAGAGCTATGGAGACAAGCTCAGTGTACCTGTTACCCAGCCCAGGCCCATCACAGCACCACTGGAACGCAGCCGAGTGGATACTTGAGTTTTGGCATCACAAACATTTGTTAACAGAGCTCAAGTGAAGTAGTGCTGTGATAGCTGGAGATTTTGGGCTTCCTGCCATATTATTCTTAAAGTATTCTCAACACAACAGACATACCGATGAACAACTTAGAGAAAGCAGTTATATTACCTCTTCCATCGTGTCTCTCCTGAAGCAACAGCAGCCTGGCCTTGTTTAAAAGCTGTGTATCATTCCTGAGTTCTATGGAGCACTCTCCTCTCACCTATTGACTACTGGGGCCAGGGTGAACATTAACAACTGCCTCCCAGCCTCTTGTCAGTGATGCCATAGCATGTGACATCACGATCGTCTCCATGGCAACAGAGCAACACAACGGAATCAGAACAGGAGGAGGCCAATTAGAACAAGAAAGCTCTTTTGTGGTTGGAGCCATAGTAATTGACAGAAATAAGAGAAGCTGTTAGAGAAAGCACATCTTTCCAACAAAGAAAATCTTTCTTATAGTTTGCCAGGTGAACCTAAAACCCCCAAACCATGACTGTAAATAAGAAGTCCTTGTAGACTGAAAGATCCATGATATCATTAGCACCTTTCCCAGTTCTAAGAACACTGAGCACAGCCTGGCTCTGAGACACCATTTTTCCCCTCTTCCCTCACATTGAGTTCTCCTTTCCATTGTAGCCTGCCCACACACTTCAGAGGCTTCTCAGTCCATTATTCCTCAGCAAATCTTCTCAAGTGCCTTTCAGCTGGTTATAATTAGCACACACATGTGGGGGCAACACACAAAAGAAACCAACCCAAGGCTGCCAACCCATGCAATGAATCATGACAGCTAAGACTACCTTCAAGGATGGCACAGACCTGGGATTTGAAATGGCTGTGAAAGAGCTTTGCACCTTCTAGGCATCCACATTACATTGCTTTCAACTTTCGAAGCAGTAAGAGACACACAGAACCAATCTCCACTACTGTAAGTGAACGTGCTCCCAGCAAAGCCAAAACAATTTAAGTCAGGAGCATTCCCTAACTGATCCCCACTCCCTCTTACAGCATATGCTAACCAGGAAAAACTTGCTCCGGTCCCAGAGACTGGAGCAGCACAAAGCTACTGGGGAGCCCTTAGGGCAGAATGGCAGTTTGCAGTGTGCTACTTTAAGCCACAAGCACCTCTACTTGTCTATAAATTCAGCCAGTCACATTTCTCAGGTAGCCTAAACACTGCAGCAAGTTATATGCTTGGTTTACTTTCAGAGACAGCAAGCTTGAAGGTGTAAGCTACAGGACAAACTCAGGCTAGCTGAAGTGAGAACATTTGCACCCAACACAGCAGCTGGAGCACAGCAATACTGACCATGCTCACCACCAGCCTTCAAGGGTAACACTGTGCTGAGCAGACCTACTCTATTCCTGTGTGATTCAGTGGGAAGGAGAGGCCTGTCACTCTTGGCAGGAAAAACAGAGTGCGCAGTCCTAGCACTGGCTGACTTGTGGCACGCAGAGGCTGGGCAGTCATCAGGATGGCAGCTGTTTTGTGATAAGAGGCACAGCTGGCAAGAACTCCAAGTCAGCTTAAAGTGATGCTGAAAAATCATCACACCATAAGAATTATCATAAAACACATTTAACAGGCACCCTTCACAACTACAGCTGAAGCAGTTCTGAGCTATAAATCTACCCAAGTGAGTTGCTGTACACAACACTTATCAGCTCCTACCTCAGCTCGGTGACATTACTTCACTTGCAAAAGCAGGACCTGACTCAAGGCCTTAACAGCAACACATGTCACTGACATTAAAGCAAGCTGTCCTGTGATGCTTCCAGGCCTTAGTCACCTGCCACCTGCGGACACCCTTGGCTCAAGCTGCAGAGGGACACAAACCTCCATGCTTCCACCTGCAGGACAGCCTCTGAGGGGTACCACACTTCACAAACTACTGCTTTACCCCTCCAGAACAGTTACTTCATTCTTCAGAATGGCTTCAGTGTTGCTGGCACATAATCTCACTCAGCAGAGCTGCAATCACATCCGCTGGCTGTGAGAACGCCTGCCATCACCCATACCCAATCATGTTTGCTAGGAGATCAAGAGCTAGAAGAGAGCAGAACGCATGATTTAGTGTGAGCCAGACCTTGCTGCAGTAGAAAGACATTACCAACAAAAGGGAAGAATCTCAGAAAAACAGAAACAATAACTTTGGAGATAACCAGTCTCTGAAGTTATTTTGAGAGCTGCCTCTCCCAGCAGCCTGAATATTCAAAGACCTTAAAAAACAGGGGAAAAAAAAAAAAAAATCAAAGGTAAGCACACAAATAGCAGTTCAAGAAGAAAGCAGACAGCTCTTCAAAGTTTGCTGCTGTCACAACACCAGCAGCCTAAATGGCTGGCCCCATTCTGTCCTGATGGAAGGAGAGAGGCTCAGTGGCCCCAGCTCTACAGCACAAAGTACAGCACTCTGAAGAGGCAAGGCGACAGGCGCACACTCATCTATGTCACCCAGGACAGGTTAGGAAGGGGTTCCTCTGCACAGACAGCAGCCTTCTCTCCAGGTAAGCCAACTGAGCCAAGCAGAATAGCAGCAGGGTGGGGGGCCGGTGTTGTGGCTCCCACTGGTCAGGGGAGGCTACCCAGCTCCTCACCTTGCCCTGGGCCTGCTGCAAATGGGCTGCAGTCAGAAAGCCACATCCTGCTGTGGCCCCAGCCCTGCTGACACGGCCACCCGGCCCGGGCAGGGAGCAGGCAGGGCAGCACTGTGCATCCCCACATCTCCAGGGACAGCCAATGCAGCAACTACTCATGCCCTCACACTGGTGCATCTGCTGGCAGCCATGAGCTGCTTCCAGGCACTAGGTCCCCAGCCCTCACACCACTACTGCTCAGCAGGCTGGATGCTTGCACTTAAAAATGACCTGGCTCCCTTTTTTTTTTTCCCCTAAAGCTGATGCCTTGTTTTGATTCAAGGAAGAATTCGAGGAACTGCAAGAGCAAAACTGCACCAGCCTATGTCAGCAGCCTCCCCTCAGCAATATAGAGCTTTTTGGAGCACTTGTCTCTAGTAAGCAAGTTAACAGAGGAGTGATAAAGGCTAAAGTATGGCATAACATCACTATTAGCAGTGGCAGCCTCCAGAATGCCCTAGAAGATTTCAGTGTGTCAGTGAGATGCAAACATTGGAGCCTGGTGCCAACTGCAAATCCAAGGCCAACAGCAGCAGCACTGTGGCTGAGGCAACAGGCTGCAGGTTACACCTCTGCACTGCCTGCTACCTGGGATTTCCCTGCTCGAGGCCTTGCTCTTGGCACACTGCAAACTGAAAGGTCACTAAAAGTCAATGCTTTTGGATCCCAGCAGCTACTTTGTCCAGCACCAGAGCTCTGGATGCACAAGCACTGCCTATCACTCTTCTCCCAAGTGAACAGGACAAGCAGCTGCTCAGGCACTCAGGGAAGTTCCTGAGCTCTGCATCACCAGCACCCTCTTCCCAAAGCTGCCTTTTCTCAGGACAGTCACCCCACACACTGTGTGGGGCTGGGGCATTACACCAGCTACCAGGGAGCTTGCTTTGCTCTGACCAGCAGTGCTAAGAGGCCAAAAGCCTGAGTCCAAGATTGTTACTAGAGTGGCAGGTCGGGCAAGAAAGCGCTGGTAGTCTTTCAATAGAGAGCACAAAAACCTGGAAAAGTTCCTGGACAAAACCATTGTGGCTTGAGACCCTATGTTTAGGCCAAGCTGAGGGACTGAGAAAAGCCTCAGGGTTCAAACAAGAAAGAGAAGGCTTCCTAACAAAACAGGGACCAAAGCAACCTTCCAGTGTCAGGGAGAGCGGCTGCACAGCAGTGTGCTGGCACCCAGGCTGCTCTCATGCACACTGCCCTGGCAGAAGCAGCTGCAGCAGCCAGGCAGCACAGCAGCTCCTCACCAGCACCTTCATAGGAGGGCTCACAAACCCCACAGAGACAACTCTGCCATGCCCAGGACATTTTCTCAAGCTTCAGACATCAGCAGTTACCTTATTCATAAGGCTAAAGAGAGATTGAATATCCACACTAATTTCTCACTTTGAGTCTGAATGGAATGCAACCATACATACTCCCACCCTGGCTAGGACGTTTGGGATCATCTGCAGCTCAGCAACACCTCACGTGGGCTATGTTCAGTTAGAACCTCAGTTGCACCCAGAATGTAAGAAATAATGCAAATAACTTCCTCAGAAGTTTGACTAACCTTAAGACAACAACTCCCATTGAAAATTCCCTTTTATCAATTTTTAAATACCTCTCAACTTTCATTAAGTGTCACCCTGCACTGCAACAGCATCAGTAGGAAGTCATACTCAACTTCTAGTCTTTGCTTTAATTTTACACTCTGACAGGCTCACACAACTAAGAATTTACCTTTGAAACACTCATCGCTGGAGTTTCTTGGTCAGCCTCAAACTGGAGGCACAACACAGTCACTTAAGCTTTGATCTCTTACAATTAGGCTTAAAAGAAAAAATCACTGAAATGAAACCTGAACTTCTTAATGAAGAATACTAAATAGGATGTACAAGACAGACAGTCAGCATGTCCTTCATGTACATACTAGAGGTAATTTAAATTTATGTATCCTTATACTGTTTCTCTTCAAGCACTGCTGTCTGATGGAGCAAGCTACAGCCCGTTTCTGGTAAGTCCACTGCAAAGAGATTTTTTAAAATCTTTTCTGCTGTTGCAAGGAGAGGTGACAAGCTTAACTCCTGGGATCTGTATGGCAATGAGGATAATCAAGTTCCTGCATGCACCCTCTACTAAGGGGGAGCCGCCACGTGCAGGCTGTAGCACTTCAACTCATGCAGGTGTCAGACATCCTTCCTGCATCCTGGTATGCTTACATAGGGATTTCACATTGTGAGACCAAGCAAGGGGCCTGGCAGGGCAGGAAAAAATCCGAACTGATGTTATCTTCCTCCAGAATACCCAAATGCTGCAGGGAGACCTGGCAGAAGGTAGCCAGTCCTATCTCCTACAGAAGCTGGAATAACCTTCAGGGGCAATTCCACTTACTCTCCTGGGTGGGAAATGGCATGTTGAGTGCATTTCCCTCTCCAGCCCTGTCCAGCAGTCACTTGCTCAAGTTTCAGACCTTCAGTAAAGTCCAGCAGCTCAGAGAGCAACAACACAGTGCTGCACTCAAGTCCCTGCATAAGCTCACAGTTACACAGCCCTGGGTCAATCTGTGCCTTTCCTGGCTCGCATGTTCCAGGTCACTATAGCAGCATACCCTGAGATAAACTTCCCTACTACATTTCTGCTTCAGTACCACCTGCAGGTGAGGACCATCACCCCAGGGCTGCTCATCACCTACCCCAGACAGTGAAACTGTCAGTCCATGCTGCAGTACAGAACTGCTGGTACTGCCCAGTACTATCCCAGGGCAGAGATGCAGAGGGCTGAGCTCAGACCCAAACTTCAGTTCGGGAGTAATCACTCCCTTTGCCTACTGCTGCTCCAGAGGACAAAAGGTTCACTCAGCATGCTCATCATCGGGCACCATGCACCCGATAATTCATTAATGCTGCAAAAGGAATTGATGCAGACAGCACCAGCATGCCCGCTCTCACCAACTAGCATAGCCACAAATAGTTTTGACTTCCACTTTGTTAAGGACAGTTTACTTCCAACAGTCTGGCACTGCTGTCCTCTCTCACTGTACCACGAGGTACAGAGCAGGAGCAGAGGAACAGCACCTTCTGGGAGCTGTACCAGAGGGACCTGAGTTCACTGCTGCTGTCCCAAGTCCCAGTACAACCTTCACTTGATCCAATAGCCTGAACACTAATCTCCTTCCAAAGCAAACCACAATTATACTCAGTATTTCTCCCCTCCCTTTTTAAATCTGCTCTGACAGAAAACACACTGACAACTTTCCACTGCAGAAATTAAAGTGGATTTTTCTTGAACAAGGCCACCAGCCTGCACAGCCTTAATCCTTCCAGCTCACATATGTTACTGTAACTTGCACTGCGCTGAATCCAATTATGCCTCCTCAATCCATTAAAAACATTTGAGACTGTTTTGCAGGTTGCACAGAGCACCACTGAGGCCCTGCAAATGGACACAAACAGCACCTCTAGGCCCAGCAAGTAGCTCTCTTCCAGCTACAAGGAGCTGGGCTCCAACAGCACACAAATAATGAGTTCTTGTGAGCGCTCAGCAGTTATTAGTTATCTATTAAAAGCACACAGAGCTCAGAGCGAGCTCATGGAGCAGCAGGTCTCCATGCACAGCACAGTAGGTTGGAGCTTGGAGCTGCAGGTGAAAACCCTGAACTAAGCAGTCAGCAGGTCCATGGACTCTTATGTTCATATGCAGATCTGGCAGCTGAGCTCCCAACTGCCAATCCACCCACAGCTGCAAAGGCCAAGGCAGCTCAGCCAGCAGCTGACTGCCTGCTCCACAGCCGGGGCCACGCTGCAGGCACAGCCCATTGCGTCCTGCAGTGTGCCTGCTGGCTCTGGAGCTGAGGGCTGCACGACTCCAGCCCCCTCCCCCCATATTCTCACTACCCTCCAGACAGCAAATCCACAAACAATGACAACTCTGAGGGCTGCAGTATGGATCCAGCGGTCATCTGACCCCCATCTCTGCTACACAGAGAAGTCAGTTACCACCCTGAAGAACTCTATAGCACTGCATCTTAACAAAGAACATGCTTCTAGGTTCTCCATGCCTCCAACACCTGTCCAACACACATCACCTCCTCCTGACTACCACTGAAGAACACACACAAGTTATCTTCCAGACATGAGCCCTGGTTGCAGACACTTTCCCCACACACTGACAGCAGCCTGACCTCCTCCCAGAACCCGCTGCAGGAATGGGCACCAAGCAGACCCTACGGAACCAAATCTGCTGATTGGCACAAGCTGGCAATCTGGCTCATTATCATTCCACATGGTTGGATTTATTTTTAGGATCCAATGCTACATGGAGTGGGATTTTTTTTATTTTTATCTCTTAACTAGAGAGTTACAGCCTAGGAGCCAGAGATCCTGATTTCATTCCTGACTCAGATACACATTTCCCAGGGTCAAGGTCCATATTCTCACAGAATAAGTGATATGGGTTCTACCAGACCACCCTGGAAATAATGCTCTTCTTTGAGCTTTTCAATAAAGACTGCCATAGAAACTAAGAGTTACAGTTACTCAGAGCTCTGGATGTGAAACCCACCTAGCCCTGACACCACACTGCCACCAGAGCTACGTTTGCTGCTACGATGTGGAGCACCCAATCTAAGGCAGGAGCCCTGGACGAGGACGCAGCACCAGGCAGCCCCAGCCGAGACCCGGCCTCGTCCCAGGCCAAAGCGGCACTTCCCAACAGAGAACGCCAGCCCGGCACACCGCTGAGCGTCAGCCTTCAGCAGCAACAGGCACAGAAAGCTTCAGGCTTCGGCATTCAGACAATACCCTTCCTCAGCGGGAGGAAGAGCCCTACCGGCACCCTAAAAAGGGATCAGCAGCACTTCAGGAAGCGTGCGATCCAGAAAAGCGCTATGTCGTTTCCTTCGGCATCGAGGGACCGCTCGACGGGCCGAAGCGGCGAGCCGGGGCTGCCGGCCGCTGACCCCCCGTGACCCCGGCCGGCTGCCGGGAGCGCGGCGCGGCACCGCCCGACCCCCCGGCGCTGCCGCTCATCCCCGCCCGCCGCAGCTCCGCTCCCGCGGGGAAGCCCGATAGCAAGCGAGATCCGGGGCCGCGCGCCTCCCGCTCCCACGAGAAGCGTCCCTCGCCCTCCGCCGAGCAGCGGCACGGCACGGCCGGGAGCGGAGCGGGACTCGGCCGGGAGCCCCGGAGCAGCGGAGAGCCAAGCGGGGGAGAAAGGAAGCGGGGCGGGCGAGGCGCGGCGGAGCCCCGGGGGCGGCGGCCGGGGCAGGGAGCGGCGGCAAGCGGAGCAGGCGGGGAGCGGCGGCCGCCGCGGAGCCATGCAGGGCCCGGCCCGGCCCCCCGCCCGCCCGCCGCGCCCCGGGCACTCACATTGCTTCAGGAGCTCCAGACACAAAGCCATGGGAGACACAAAGGAGGGGCGGAGGGGACCGGAGAGACGGGGAGGCGCGGGGCGGGGGCGCTCGGCCCGGCCCCACCGAGGGGAGCTGCGGGGCCGCTCGGCGCGGAGAGCCGACCCGGCGGCGGCAGGAAGGGCGGGCGCCGGGCGGGCCGCGCTCGCTGCTCCTGCGGCCGGCGAGACAAGGGAGGAGACGCGCGCCGCCAGCGCCGCACTCACCGCGCCCGCCCGCCGCTCCGGCTGCGCGCTGCGGGCGGGGCCGCGCCTTAAAGCCGCGGACCGCCCCGCGCGTCACCGCCCGCGCCCCGCGCAGGCGCGGCGGACCCGGCGGCGGCGCCCCCGGCCCGGCCCCGCCCCGCCCCGCCCGCTGCCCGCGGGATGTTCTCACGCCCGGCCCGGGGCCGTGCTGGCCAACGACCGGAGCGCCACGTGGAGGACGGCGGAGGGAAACGGGCGGGCAGGGGAAAGAGAAACAGAAACAGAAAGTGCCCGGGCCGGAGGTCGCGGCGCGGCGCTGCGCTCGCCTGCCGCTGGTGGCCGTGGGAGCGGGGCTGGAGTTCCTGCGGCCCCGCCGCCGAACTTTGTCCCGGGTGTCCCCCGCTCGGGGCCGCTCCCGTGCGGCCGGGCTTTGGCACGCGGCTCCGCGGGCTCGCACCGCTGTGTGCCCGAGCTCCCGCAGTCGCGATCGGCCCTCGGTTATTCTGTCTTTTTTATGGCTCCCTGTGCTTGGTGGAGGGCTGCTCGGCGTCCTGCGGCACAGAGAAACAAACAGCGCCCAAAGCCACGGGGCTTCTGCTCCCCACCGGGTGAAGGACGGCGCAGGCCGGGCGGTGACGCTGCTGGTGTCTCGCCCTGCTGAGGACAGCGCACTGCTGTTGCCGCTGGGGGCATTTAGCAAGTTGGGATGCTCTTGGTGGTCCCGTTTCACCTTTGCAAGCACGCGGACAGAACTACAGGCTGCAGTCAGCGATAGTAGCAAGCAGCGAGAAGGATGTGGCTTCTGAGCATGTTACTGAAAGGAAATGCTGGAAGCTGCCTTCCTTTCCTGCTTTGTGTACAGCTACTGCTGGGAGGTGGCTCGGACCTCGGAGCCATGCTCACTTCCCATCGTTAAGGCTGAGCCACTCCTGCCTGCCCTGCATCTGCTAGTGTGTGTGCAGCAGGGAGCACCAAGGGCAGCCTCACTGCTGCAGAGGGATGAAGGTTCTTTGGTGTGGAGGTAACATCAGGGACTTCCTGGGAAGAGGGAGCAGCTTGGGCTTGGTAGTGGATTTTCCATAATAATGATGAAAAGAGATGAAAAATGAGAAAATAAGTATGGAGAGAAACAGTTGTTACAAATTTCTTTGCGTCTTATGGTCGTATGAACAGATCATGGAACACTCATACCCTCCCTTATTCCTTACAAGCACTCGTGAAGCATACACCATAAATCTTTCTCTGGTGTGCACACGCACAGACCACTCTCTCTCTAATCCCTTTCCTGCTGGTATGTCAGAGAAAGCTATTTCTGGAACGTGAAATCTAGGTCAAAAAGAAGGAGAAAATCTAAAAGCACTGGTAACAGTCCCTCTCCTCAAAGACCATACAGGGTGAGCCCTGGTCGGCATAATCAGCATGGGGCCGCTGGGGCATCCCACTGCTCAGCCTTTCACACCCTGCCTGCGCTGTCCTGGCTGTGCTGCGTTTCCCTTTGCAGCCACACCGCAGGATTTTCTCCCGAAGAGGAGAATGCTGTGTTCCAGCTCTGGGCATGCTGGTGGCTTCTGTTTGGCCAGCTGAGGGAGGAGAGGGAGGAGAGGGAGTGCCTGCGTACCTGAGAGCTGCAGAGGAAGAGGAAGGATGTTGGACCCTTCCCTCCCATCCTATCGCTACATAATTTTCCTGGAAGCCATGGTCACTCTTTCCATAGCGAAGCAGCCTTTGTGGGCCCACTCAGCAGCACAGTGTGGGCATTTTCTTGCTGTGCCCCTCCCTGCAAAAGCCTGCATGAGGATGCCAGTGCTGGGACTGGGATCTGCCCTTCCCAGTGCATGGTTCTTGGTACAGCACTGCTGCTGGGAACCATGTCACTAACTCAGAGATGAAGAACAAGCAAAAAGCAATGCAAAGAGGTCATAAGGGTGACTGTTCTGTCATGCATTTGGGGACTCTGTATCCCAGACAGAGCTCTTGTGGACTTGGCAAAGCTGCAGCCTGAAGATAGGCACAGTGTGCGCAACCCGGGTGGCTGCTGCAGGGACAAGGCTTGTGCCTGGTTCTGGGTGGGGGGAAGGACTGGCCTTCCCTTGGTTCTTTCTGCTCTGGGTATTGCAATTCCCTTACTGGGCTGGGCTCAAGGCTTGCAGTCTCTGCTCCACCAGATCTGCTGCCATGGGGCCAGCAGAGAGGAAGAACTGGAGGGCCGCTGCCTCTGGAGCTCAACTATCAATCAGAGATAGCTTTTGTCCCAGGGATTTGTAGCAAAGACAGGTCAACAGGAGGAGGAGGCAGAGCTGCATCCCCTGGCCTCCCTGAAAGAGCTGGGCACAATGCAAGGAGATGGGAAACAAGACAGGCTGATGAATCCCAGAGCAGGATGTTGTCATGAGCAAGGCTGATATTACAAAAGGCATTGGAGAAGAGTTTGAGTACGAAACTGGCCTGGTACAAGATTTCCCTGCTGCCACTGTGTCATTGCTTGGAGGCTGGGATTAGGTCTTGCCTTATTTTGCTGTGCTTTGCTCACCTCTCTGCTTTCCCTTTTCCCCTGGACATCAAGTACACAGGCCCTTTGAGGGCAGCTCGGTATTAGCAAGCAGTCTATTAATCACGCAATTCCTAGTGATGCCTCTAATAAGAAGACACTGGAGCCTTCCGTAATGCACAGGGGTGAGCAGGGCTGTCGGCAGAACGTCTGGCAATTAGTTGAATAGGTTTCACAGGGCTTCTGAGTCTCTTGCTTTGTAAGGCACAAAGCTTTGTTTAAGGCTGATCAAGGGCAGCTCATCATCTGTCTTGCTGGCTGTCAAATGGAGCTAACTGCCCTGTAATGCACGAGTGACACCAGTTTGTGGGAGGCACGGAGCAGCTTGTCAGAGGGGTGACAGCTGTCAGGCCTCTCCCACCCACTGAGCACACGCAGGCTGCAAACCCCAGGGCTCCCAGTCCTCTGTGACATGGAGCTTGCTGCACATCCTCAGCTGGGGGCTGAATCCTCACAACACTGCTTAACGTTTTGATTCAAACCCTGCACATTCCTCAAAGACAGAGAAACCTGTGGGAGCTTGGGAGACCTGCTCTACAGCACAGCAGCCACCAGTCAAGCCTCACTGATGCATATGGGTGTTTGCATGAGGAACTGAGACTGGGTGACTGACTAAAGATGTGACTGCTGGCCAGATATGCCTCCTGCCTTTCCCATCATACATGCATACAAACACGGATGCCCCTCTGGTGGTGCTCCCCACACCCTCCATCATATCTGCTTTCCTCTCCAAGTTCCTGCAGCTTATGCAAAGGGATGGAGAATTTTTTGGACATTAGCAAATTTCTGCTGCTTGTATCACAGGTGGCATGTGCAAGGTGGCAACTAGTCCTTTGCTTGGCCTGATTTTGTTTCCCAGCACTAGCCTGGGCTTGTGGCAGTGCTGAGCCGTGCTGTTAGGAGGAGCAGGATGGGAATGGGCTGCACTTCTTGGCTCTTTGCACTCCCCCTCCCACTCCTGCTCCTCCTGCCCACTGCTGGCAGAGGGCTCTGGCCCAGAGCTGGGCAGTATGCTCTCTGCTCTCCAGTGCCTCTGCCAGCTGCGTCTGCATGGAGGCTCCTCTGATGCTGCCCATGCCCCTGCAGATGGGTGCCAGTCCTCCTTTTACTGGGATCAGCCTGCCCAGCAGGACCTGTCTGGGTGTCCCTGTGGGTGACTGCTTGCTATTTGCCTCATGTCTCCAGTAGCACGGTGCAGCCCTGGTGGGACATTGGCACCTGCTCCTTCTACCTTCTCCAGGATGTGCCTGGCATCACCGTTTCTAACTTGTGTTCTGAAAATGTTTTCCAAGAGTTATGCATCTTCCTTTCAGCCCACCATGGAGCTCTTGGCTCTAGCCAAAGCAACAAGCCTGAAACCATGTGTTCTGAGCAGTCTGGCTGAGGACAATGTGCTGCTGCTGTTGTCCCAGACAGGTGACACAACAGAAAAGATGCAGCAGGTGTGCTGGGTGGGCAGGATGGGAGCCCTCAGCTCCACTGTTGTGGACAGTCCTCACCTCTAAGGTGAGGCAGTGACATCCAGTAAGGAGCTCAGGGCAACATGGCATGCCAGCTGAAAGGCTGCAGTGAGAACAGAGCTGCCCTTGCCCTGCAGCTTCATGCCACAGTACCTGCTGGCTCTGCCTTTGGGAGCCATTAACAGAAGCACTGTTTCTTGATCAGTGACCCTTCCTGTCACTCACAATCACACACAGAATCACAGAATTGTAGGGGTTGGAAGGGACCTCTAAAGATTGTCAAGTCTAACCCTCCTGCTAAAGCGAGTTCCACACCACAGGTTGGACAGAAAAGAGTACAGATATGTCCTGAGTATCTCCAGAGAAGGAAACTCCACAGCCTGTCTGGACAGTCTGTTCCAGTGTTCTACCACTCTGACAGCAAAGAAGTTCTTCCTCGGTTTCAGTCCCCATGCACTTTTTGCAGGAGAAGAGTGGACCACTGGTAAGTGAATTTGAACTGCTGCTGCAGACTGCATGGGGTTAACGCAGCCACCAATGTGTCCCTGGGCCAGGCTATGGTGGTCTGGAAGCAGGGAGCCAGCACTTGCTTTAATCTGTGCTCTCCAAGGTTTTTGTGGGTCTGAGCTGTTCCCAGTATTCCTTGCTGGGTCCAGCTGGCAAGCCCAATGCCCTGGCAAAGTGGCTGCCTCACTCCAGAGGTGGTGCTCCGGGCACAGTGTGAGGAGTCAGCTCCTGGAACTGCTTGACAAAGTGCTGCAGTGCTGGGAGAGGTGATACTGCTTGTCAGGAACAGCTGGAAGGAAAGGAAGGCATCCAGTGGGCCCATGTGAACTTAATGAGGTTCAGCAAGGCCAAGTGGAAGGTGCTGCACTTGGGTCAGGGCAATCCCAGGTATTTATACAGACTGAGGGAAGAACCTGAGAGCAGCCGTGTGAAGAAGGACTTGAGGATCTTGGTGGACAAGAAGCTGGACATGAGCCAGCAGTGTGCGCTTGCAGCCCGGAAGGCCAACT